TGCAATTTTTGTAATAATTAAAAATATATATACTAATGGAGGATTCCTATCACGATGGTGGAGTGGGAAAAAACAAAATTCACTTCTCTCTCACAAAGAAATAAAAAATATACCTACATGTGGAGCAATTCTTGCTGAAAACTAACTGCAGACTGGTAGAAAGACTCTTATAGCTACTGAGGCTGTCAGAAAAATTTCATGGAAGCATGGAAGTGGGTAATAAGGAAGGAGACATGAGATCAGGTCAGAACCTATGTCACTGTAAGGGGACATGGAGGAGGAGGGGGATTACATGGGTAGAAGCCCTCCCTGGGGAGTGAGTGGTTTGAGTCATATATTGGGCACTGCCAACTGCAGCCCTGAAGTCTGTTGCCAGGAGAAGTCAAGTCCCTTTGGCTGGCTGGAGGGCTGGTGGGACTAACAGGATGGCTTCGGGAAGCCTGGACTCTGGTCTTGAGGAGCAAGTTCACACATGCTTGCTTACTCCTGAAACATGGTAGAGAGAGTGGATTTGTTCACCTGAATTATTTAGTAGTAGGGTGTGTGTCCTCAGGCACCTCTGACTCTTTGCCACCCCACAGGCTGCAGCCCACCAGGCTCCCCAGTCCATGGAGTTTTCCAGGCCAGAATACTGGAGTAGGTTTCCATTTCCTTCTCCAATTTAGTGGTAGACCTGCTCCTTATCAACAGGAAGGCACATAGAGAAGAAACAAACTGATGCAGTCCCCTAAGCAGGGCCTGTATGACTCAGCTTTTATATTTTTCCCCCTAGATGACTTTGACTTTCCGCAAACTACAGTGAATACCCACATAAATCATTCAGTCTTGAATGATAACCAGTCAGTTAAGAGAGGTTAGCATCTTATAACAAAAGATAAGTGTAAAAGGTGACATGTGGCATCATTTATATATGTATATTTTCTGCTTTTGTATACTTCACTCAATATATTTTTCCCATTTTTTCAAATATCTATCTTTAAAATTACTCAATTCAGTGAAATCATACAAATGGAATAGGATATTTTTAATAGCTTAGTCCTTAAATTTTCAACGTAGTTGAAAAGACATTCCATAGTAGTAAATATTGGTAATCCCCGTGATAATCCCATAAATTAGATACTATTATTAATCTCATTATACAAATTAAGAATCTAAGAGAATTTATGTAAATTTTTCAAAGCCACACAATGAAAAACTGTTCTTGCCAAAACCGAGTCTACAATTTTGTGTTAAACAGTTGAATCAGATGGAAGTCCAAAAACTAGTTTTCTCACTATTAATATCTATGGAATGCTGCTAGTGACTTGACCTGTTTGAATTTAATTTTTCTCATTTGTGAACAGAGGATAAAACAGTTTAGCTTTGATGGCTTAAAGATTAAATGATTCATGTAAAGCAGTAAGCATAGTTTCTGGTAGAATTTGCTCAAAAAGTACTTAAACTTTATTGCAGTCATTACTTTCCCACCAAATTTGATAAAAGTCTGTGAATCACACAGCCAAAATTCACAATGCCTATATATTCGGTTTTTTAGGTTCAGTAATATCACAATAGAAGTCATAAATTTGACAAAAGCTCTATATAGTATACTATACTAAGTGATTTACATAGATTAAGATAATTTAATCTATATAAAAAATATATGAATCCATTCCTAGTATTTCTTACATGGTGCAGCTACATAAATGGAAACATAGACGATAAATATCATGCCTTGTACCACAGAAATAGTAAGTGGCAGAATCCAGATTCAAAACTAGGCAATTCAAAAACACATTCTTTAACCAATCATATTATAAGGAGTATCATAAAATAATTAAATATCATTAAAATCAAATTTAAATAATGGAAATGGAAAATATCAGGAAACTGTATAGACCATTTTCTCCTTGAATATTCATAAGAACACCATTTATTGACCTCTGTTTCCTCCAATTATGGTCATGTAATGATCATATCTAAATGTTTCTTTAAGAGGATCATTATAAAATGGGTCTCTGCTTAACACCAGTCTATCTGACCAGAAAATAAGTCTAATTGGTTTTGCTCTGCTGAAGCCCAAGACTGCTAGATTGGTGTATGCTTATAATGAATGCATATCTATACTTTTGGTAAACAAATTAGAATTAATGATCCTTTAAAAAATATCCAGTAGTCTAACTACCCCTTAACCACCCCCAAAATATAGATAGGTATAGACCTAGGTGTGAAGATATTTGCAAATGTTACAGTAAAGTTGGAAATAACTTTTTCTTTAAACCCATCTTGGAGTTAAGTGACATGCCCAGAAACAGTTTATCATAGCATGAATTAATATTTCAACATGAAATTTCGGGCCTATGGACCTGGACAGAGTGAGAACATCTGAGCTGGAGAAATTGTTAGATGAATTGGCATAATGAAGGTGATAAATAAATTATCTCAAGTAGTTAGAATTGCAAGCATGTTTGCATAGTTTGAGGCTGAACAGGACTCAGGATAGAACTGTAGGGAGTACAAAATAGATGAGGGCAGAATAAGTGAAGGAGATGAAGAGACACCAAGTATTGGATATAAAATGAAAAAGCACAAGGACATAAATTACAGCACAGGCAATATCATTAATATTTTATAAAATTATGGTATGATATATAATCTATAAAAATATCAACATGTCTACATTTAAGTGGACTTGAGGTTAATTTGCAAATGAGGACATCAGAAAGAAAGTCAGCTAATTGAAAGAAAACTTGTGTATATAAATTTTTTTGTATTTAGCCTTGAGAGAAGAGAAAAGAGGGGAGAGAGAAGGTATCTTATCAGCAAGTTTTAGAAATGATTTCAGGGAATATTACATGTGAATGAACCCAAGAGGAATTAATTAAAATCTGTTGGGTCCCTTTTGGTTTAGTCTAGTGGCTAATACATCCCTGATTCCAAGTTCCCAACTCTGCTTTCTCCAAACATTCATTAGGGGATATTAAAATTGGTAGCTAGCAATTTTCCTCCTCAATTTGAACCAGTAAATTTATGCTGTACCCAAGAATAAATCAGACTTTGCTCAGAGTTTTGTTGGACAATGAGCACACGAACGTTATCTCAGGCAGAAATGGAGAAGAAGAGTGTCTGTATGCAGAGTGAAAATAAAATATGAAGAAATATTCCAGAGTTTTCCATAGGTTACATATGGCCCCAGCACCAAATGGATTAGAACGCATGACATTTACTGTGTGCTGATGTAGAGGAGACAGATATAAAGAGGCACTGCAGAACAGAATGCGAGGGCATGAGACTGCTATCTCAGGCAGAGGAAAGAGTTGAGCAGTGAGAAATAGTGGATGAAGAACAAATATTTCTTTTCGGGTATCAGGTAAGAGCAGCGACGGCTCCCAATAGCTATTGACAAGTAAGTCGTTCTATTCCTAAATTAAACTGTAATTTTTTTAAATTAATTAATTAATTTAAAATAATAATCTCCATCCCATCAGTCCTGTACTCACTTATGTACACCCACCAGCCATCCCACTGTCTATACTATTGTGTGATGCTCACATGTCAGTTCCTTACCTTTGAAAAAGTCAGATACTATGTCTATACTTAAAGGAGTCCTATTATCATTCTGATCATTTCTGAAGAAAAACTTCACCCTTATTAGAAAGGAGTCAGCCACCTGTGGGTTGGAGAGCCACTGAACTAAGCATTGGGGATCAAGCATGCCAAACTCAAAGTAGTTAATTCATTAAGTCTATTCCAGCTATTTGTCCGCCTATACACGGTTTCTGCCATGAAATGGCCTGGCTGACTTCATTCTTTCACTTGATTTTTAGCAACATAAATCACTGCTGTCCTTGCATTTACTGGTATGTTTATTGATGTTAAGTATATAGTTAGATGATACCTTAAGAGCTTGCTGACATAAAGTAACTAGCTTTACATTTGACGATTTAAAAAAAAATCTGTTCTTTCATCCTTTATTTTCTAATTAATATACTTTGCTTGAACTAAAAAAAAAAAAAAAATGACTCCTCTTCCAAGTTATCTATACTGCAATGAGAATTAATGAACCTAAAGTGGACAGATCTCATGCTTATGGGAGCTCTGACCAGTGTAAACCCAAGAAATTAGCCTCAATTTGGCTATGTTACACATTTATTTCTTTTCCCATATCTTCTAATCAAGAATGAGTCCTCCTGTCCCTATTATTTCTGCTGTTGATTTTCTTGAATCCCAGAGATTCCTCCTTCTGCGCTAATATGTATTATGGAACTTAAACTATTTTGAGCACACAACTAAGTTTAATGATTTCAGCTGAACAAATATAAGCAAAATATAACACAGTTTTATGAGAAATGTAGAAAGTAGCAAGGAACTTTGACCAGGCTTGCCACAAATATGTGGATTTCAATGATCTTTTCTAAGTCTTACTTTACATTCTTTTGAAAAACCATCCAGTCTTATACAGAAGGGATAACATAAATAAGGACATTATGCTCATTGATGTCATCTGTTTTTATATCTATTTGGTTTAATAAGGAGCCATTTAAAGTAAAATACTAACCAGAGTCTGAGAATCTGTTCATGCGAACTGTTCCTGACTTAATGACAATTGAGAATAATAGAGTGATTGAGCAGTAGCTAGAATGTACACTATGGAGGGATTCATCCAATTGATTAAAATGCAATCTACAAGCAACATAAACAAGTCTATTTTTTTTGTTTTGTCCACAGGTCTGGAAAGAAAAAAAACAAGTCAGCAATTTATTCCATTACCCATGTGATTTGGTTGGTGCTACTGAGGTTGGCTGGCCATGAACATACCATCTTATTGTGGTACACTGTTTGTGGATGCACTTCCTGAACAGTGATGTGACTTATGAATCTGTGTTTTCCCTTCAATTGTATGAAGGAGATGGATGATATGATCTCAGAGTTCAGCTAAAATCAGAAAATATGAAAACTTGGCATATAAATTGTACAATAGCACAGACTAATTTGTTCGCCTCTGGAAATGCAAAGACACTATGTCCATTTCCAACATCACAGTCTTCATGCCTTCTGTGTTCACTCTAATAGGGATCCCAGGCCTAGAGTCTGTGCAGTGCTGGACTGGGATTCCATTCTGTGTCATGTATCTCATTGCTATGATTGGAAATGCCTTGCTTCTGATCATCATCAAATCGGAGCCCAGCCTGCATGAACCCATGTACATTTTCCTAGGCATGCTAGGAGTCACAGATATTGCTCTTAGCACCAGCATTGTGCCCAAAATGCTTACAATCTTCTGGTTTCATATACCAGAGATATATTTTGACTCTTGCCTGCTTCAAATGTGGCTCATTCACACATTTGAAGGCTTAGAGTCAGGCTTCCTCCTGGCCATGGCCCTGGACCGCTATGTGGCCATCTGTTATCCACTGAGACATGCTGCCATCTTCACCCCCCAGCTAGTCACCCAAGTAGCAGCTATGGTAACACTCAGGGCTACCATTCTTGTGACCCCCACCCTAGTACTGATAAAATGCCGGTTGCACTTTTATTATACAAAAGTTATCTCCCACTGCTACTGTGAGCATATGGCCATTGTGAAACTGGCTGCAGATGATGTCAGTGTCAACAAAATCTATGGTTTGTTTGTGGCTTTTACTGTTGCAGGGCTTGACCTAACATGCATCACATTGTCCTATGTACAGATATTTATTACAGTTTTTCGTTTGCCCCAGAAGGAGGCTAGGTTGAAAGCATTCAATACCTGCATTGCTCACATCTGTGTCTTCCTGCAGTTCTACCTCCTTGCCTTCTTCTCTTTCTTCGCACATAGGTTTGGTTCTCATATCCCGCCTTACATCCACATCCTCTTTGCTAGCATTTACTTGCTGGTCCCTCCATTTCTCAATCCACTTGTCTATGGTGCAAAAACCAAGCAGATTCGCATTCATGTGGTAAAAATGTTCTCTTTTTAAAATCCACCATGATTTATAGTTTTGTTGTTTCCTCTTTATACAATAGTTACTTCAAATAAAAATAAAGCAAAAGCATGTAATTTGAGATGCTTAAGTTTTCCCAAAAGTTGTCTTGTGAAATCTGCCAGGATGACAGCTAGTTCTCACATCTTCACAGCCCATGAAAATTATCAATGAATAGGATTATGGATCCTATCAGGGTAGTGAGAATGAGAAGTGTAGAAAGTGCAAAATAATGAACAACATTTCACTTCCTTTTCTTTTTTTCTTGTTTTTGTTTTTTAGACTCTGGCTAAGGTTCCTCTTCTAAGAATTCTTCTCCAGATAATTAAAAAAGTATACATTTCTCACAGAATTTAAATATACTCAAGTATTAGTGTCCTGTAGTGTCTAGGTACTCAGTAAAAACAAGTTGTCTACTCTTGTTTCTTGAAGATGTTGGCCATAAAAAGTCAGAGAAAGTGTACCTTAACGTATTCTTCACCAAAAACATAAAAACAAATTTTATGATGAGATAATGATGTTTAAAATTTCCATAAATTTCCAGAGTTACTCAGGAGTGACAAAAAACATGAAAACTCAGAGGTTCTATTTTACATATCAATCATTTTTCTGAGCCCTCTAGGGTTATATTTTAATTCACTGGATTATCCAATACCTACCATATGATAAGTATTATGCTAGAGAACAGTGGCATAATAGTCAATTTACACTGTGATTCAGTTTCATGAATTTGTAATTGGTATTAATATTTTTAAGGGCTTTGTTACTCAGGACTCCTCAAGGGACAAACTTTCTAGTAGACCCTGGGTATTTTCTAGTTGGAGTGACTTCAGATAGAGGACGAGATCTGAAGGTGGTGATTTTTCAGGCAACAGTGGCAGGAATTGACTCTTCTGTCACTCGGTGGTGGCTTTCAGGTGAGGTAGCAAAATCCATTGAGCTGTCTGGCTATTCACAGTTCCTTAGCTAAATGTTCAGTTTGGGAACAATAATGTTTGGCGTGTCTCCTCCCTCTTTTTCTTCTTCTTGATAGAGAACCATCCACAGGCTTCAGATCTTTTGTGTTGACCCTCTTGGAGTGGTCTGTACTCCAATATGGGAAAGTTGTCCTGACATTCATATCATCCTGGTTTGATGGGAAAATCAGCCTCATTTGGGATTTAGTGAGCAGGTCCATTTTGCTTTCATACTAAGCTGTATCCTTACACTTAAACAGGATAAAGATACAGATGAAAAACAAATGCGATTTCGCTAATTGTGACAACATGGATGGGCCCAGAGAATATTATGTTAGGTTAAAAACAGTAACAGAAAAAGAGATCTACTATATACTTTCATTCATATGTGGAATCAAAAAAGCATCAGAAATGTACAAACAGTTCTTTGGCCCATTTTTTGATTGGGTCATTTATTTTTCTGGAGTTGAGCTGGAGGAGTTGCTTGGATATTTTTGAGATTAATCCTTTGTCTGTTGCTTCGTTTGCTATTATTTTCTCCCAATCTGAGGGCTGTCTTTTCACCTTGCTTATAGTTTCCTTTGTTGTGCAAAAGCTTTTAAGTTTCATTAGGTCCCATTTGTTTATTTTTGCTTTTATTTCTAAAATTCTGGGATGTGGGTCATAGAGGATCCTGCTGTGATTTATGTCGGAGAGTGTTTTGCCTATGTTCTCCTCTAGGAGTTTTATAGTTTCTGGTCTTACATTTAGATCTTTAATCCATCTTGAGTTTATTTTTGTGTATGGTGTTAGAAAGTGTTCTAGTTTCATTCTTTTACAGGTGGTTGACCAGTTTTCCCAGCACCACTTGTTAAAGAGGTTGTCTTTTTTCCATTGTATATCCTTGCCTCCTTTGTCAAAGATAAGGTGACCATAGGTTCGTGGATTTATCTCTGGGCTTTCTATTCTGTTCCATTGATCTATATTTCTGTCTTTGTGCCAGTACCATACTGTCTTGATGACTGTGGCTTTGTAGTATAGTCTGAATTCAGGCAGATTGATTCCTCCAGTTCCATTCTTCTTTCTCAGGATTACTTTGGCTATTCGAGGTTTTTGGTATTTCCATACAAATTGTGAAATTATTCGTTCTAGTTCTGTGAAAAATATCGTTGGTAGTTTGATAGGGATTGCATTGAATCTGTAGATCGCTTTGGGTAGTATAGCCATTTTGACAATATTGATTCTTCCAATCCATGAACACGGTATAATTCTCCATCTGTTTGTGTCCTCTTTGATTTCTTTCATCAGTGTTTTATAGTTTTCTATGTATAGGTCTTTTGTTTCTTTAAGTAGATATACTCCTAAGTATTTTATTCTTTTTGTTGCAATGGTGAATGGTATTGTTTCCTTAATTTCTCTTTCTGTTTTCTCATTGTTAGTGTATAGGAATGCAAGAGATTTCTGTGTGTTAATTTTATATCCTGCAACTTTACTGTATTCGTTGATTATCTCTAGTAATTTTCTGGTAGAGTCTTTAGGATTTTCTATGTAGAGGATCATGTCATCTGCAAACAGCGAGAGTTTCACTTCTTCTTTTCCTATCTGGATTCCTTTTATTTCTTTTTCTGCTCTGATTGCTGTGGCCAAAACTTCCAAAACTATGTTGAATAGTAGTGGTGAGAGTGGGCACCCTTGTCTTGTTCCTGATTTCAGGGGAAATGCTTTCAGTTTTTCACCATTGAGGGTGATGCTTGCTGTGGGTTTGTCATATATAGCTTTTATTATGTTGAGGTATGTTCCTTCTATTCCTGCTTTCTGGAGAGTTTTAATCATAAATGGATGTTGAATTTTATCAAAGGCTTTTTCTGCATCTATTGAGATAATCATAAGGTTTTTATCTTTCAATTTGTTAATGTGGTGTATTACATTGATTGATTTGCGGATATTAAAGAATCCTTGCATTCCTGGGATAAAGCCCACTTGGTCATGATGTATAATTTTTTTAATATGTTGTTGGATTCTGTTTGCTAGAATTTTGTTAAGGATTTTTGCATCTATGTTCATCAGTGATATTGGCCTGTAGTTTTCTTTTTTTGTGGCATCTTTGTCTGGTTTTGGAATTAGGGTGATGGTGGCCTCATAGAATGAGTTTGGAAGTTTACCTTCTTCTGCAATTTTCTGGAAGAGTTTGAGTAAGATAGGTGTTAGCTCTTCTCTAAATTTTTGGTAGAATTCAGCTGTGAAGCCATCTGGTCCTGGGCTTTTGTTTGCTGGAAGGTTTCTGATTACAGTTTCGATTTCCTTGCTTGTGATGGGTTTGTTAAGATCTTCTATTTCTTCCTGGTTCAGTTTTGGACTGAACAGACATTTCTCCAAGGAAGACACACAGATGGCTAACAAACACATGAAAAGATGCTCAACATCACTCATTATCAGAGAAATGCAAATCAAAACCACAATGAGGTACCATTACACACCAGTCAGGATGGCTGCTATCCAAAAGTCTACAAGCAATAAATGCTGGAGAGGGTGTGGAGAAAAGGGAACCCTCTTACACTGTTGGTGGGAATGCAAACTAGTACAGCCACTATGGAAAACAGTGTGGAGATTTCTTTAAAAGCTGGAAATAGAACTGCCATATGACCCAGCAATCCCACTTCTGGGCATACACACCGAGGAAACCAGATCTGAAAGAGACACGTGTACCCCAATGTTCATCGCAGCACTGTTTATAATAGCCAGGACATGGAAGCAACCTAGATGCCCATCAGCAGATGAATGGATGAGGAAGCTGTGGTACATATACACCATGGAATATTACTCAGCCATTAAAAAGAATGCATTTGAATCAGTTCTAATGAGATGGATGAAACTGGAGCCCATTATACAGAGCGAAGTAAGCCTGAAAGATAAAGACCATTATAGTATACTAACACATATATATGGAATTTAGAAAGATGGTAACGATAACCCTATGTGCAAAACAGAAAAAGAGACTCCTATGTATAGAACAGACTTGTGGACTCTGGGAGAAGGCGAGGGTGGGATGTTTCAAGAGAACAGCATTGAAACACGTATATTATCTAGGGTGAAACAGTTCACCAGCCCAGGTTGGGTGCACGAGACAAGTGCTCGGGCCTGGTGCACTGGGTAGACCCAGAGGGATTGGGTGGAGAGGGAGGTGGGAGGGGGGACCGGGATGGGGAATACATGTAAAAAAAAAAAAAAAAAAAGATACACTATGGTTGTGATAAAAAAAAATAAAATTAAAAAATAAAAAAAAAAAGAAAGAAATGTACAAACAGAGCAAAACAATAACAGACTCACTCATAGATACAGAGAATAAACTGGTGGTTGCCAGAGGAGATGGGTTAGGGGGCTGGATGAACTAGGTAAAGGGAATTATAAGATAGAAACATCCAGTTATAAAATGAATGCAGTCATGGGATGTAATATGCAGTGTAAGGAGTATAATCAATAGCACATTAATAATTTTATATGGGGACAGATGATTACTAGATTTATCATGGAGGTCATTTCATTATGCATTTAAATATCAAATCACTAAATTGTACACCAGAGTATTTATTATATGTCAATTATACTTCAATAAAAATTCAGATAACATTTGATCTTCCATCTAACATTTCTATGTATAATTTCTAAAATTGCAGAAAAACTATATTAGAATTCTTCAAAAAACAAAATTATGAGGAGACATCAGGAAGGCGCTAATTCCACACTCTCTTGTATATGCAATAGACACTAATATCAGCCTTAAAATTTCCATCCTATCATAGTAAAGAACCATAATAAAACTGTTCCAGAACAGTTTCTACATCAAAGTAAGTGAAATCATTTGACTTTTGAGACTTGATATTTTATGGTTTCAAATTTGCTGTTTTCAGCCAAATCCAGAG